TGGCTGGCTAGGGTGGAACTTAACAGGCTTCACAGGAAACCAGAATTTTCTTTACAGACTAAACCCAGAGCCAAATACAACAGTAGCTTCAAAAGAGGGATTTTCCTCAGAACTGCACTGAGGCAGGAAAAGGTTATATATTTCTCCATGCCGCCTGCTTCTTTGATAATTATCAGCTCCCCCTTACCATTTGCCATTTAAAATGTGGCTCTGATTATGCCGCCTGTCTACTGGCTTGGGAGTAAATTAGTCATCGCCTGTACGGGCTTTCCCCGCCTCGTATCGGTGGTCCCTGCAGTCTCCTAGGGTCAATGGTACAATTCAGTCAGTTTTTCCATGGTACAATTCTGTCCCCAGTTTCTTTTCCTCTGCAGTTTTCCAGACCCCTTGTTCATCTTTTGGGTCCACCTTCCTATTCCATTAACCAGTTATGGTTGAGGTTCTTCTAGTTTGCTTTCCAGCTGTTTCCACACAGGAAAACCCTACAGTCCACATGAAATGGAACCATGTCCTGGTATTTTTTCCCCCAGCTCCTAAGTGGTGGATTCCATCACTTTGCCTGCAACAGAGGAATTCTGTTGGATTCCAATCTTGGAATGTTCCAAGCTCAAAACAAAATGTGCTGGTGGAGTGTGTGTTGAGCTCCGAACTAAAAACGGTCCGTTTTTTCCAATTCTCCAAACAAAATAAGACAATTCAAGCAGCACTATTTTGACTGATCCAGCGGTCCAGAGGCCTGTGATAGCTATGTTATTTTATTAATCTGAATGTGAATGCTTTTTTCAAGCATTTCTCAAGATGGAACTGACTCCATTTCTTCTGCTGCTACTGACTGAACCTGTCTGAGATGGGAGCGGGATGCAGGGAGGCAGCACAGTTCAGAGGCCGATGCTGTTGGGCGCTGGTTACTGATTTGCCTGGAATAGGTTGGAGGGTGCGCCTGGCATTCAGAGGTGATTCTGGATGTCTGATCCCAGACATAGGTATGGAAGAAGACTGCTTGCAGTGGCCTGTTTCCCTGGTAAGTAGGTTTAGTTTTTCTATAGAAATGTGCTATAGAGAAGTTAGAGTGCATAATACTGTTCTGTTATGGAAGGAGCAGCCCTTGAACACAAAAATTTTACAGCAGCCACAGACCAGAAGAATTCCCCAAGAAAGGAGGCAGGAAGTGAGAAGCTAGGGCTGGGCTCTCGAGTGCTCCAATCTAGAAGAAGGGAGAGGCCCATGCGAGCAATAGAAATAATGTAGGGAGCAGCTGGAGGTGGTCTGGGATAATGGGAGGAAGAAAGGGGGGAAAAAGTCCAGTCAAAAGAGGAGCAAAAGGGAAGTATACTACATGGGCACCAGGGTGCAAAACTACAAGAAAAGAAAAAAAAAAGAGCATGTGAGCCTAGGGCAGACAGAACCATCTTGATAACCAATCCATTACTGAGGGAAAAATAATGGGGAACCAAGGCAGGATGAATGGAATAGAGTCAGCATGGCAACCCTGCACTTAATATGATTCAACCACTTCCTTTTGCAATCATGTCTAACAGGTTAATCTGTGCCTGTATCTATAAAAAGAAAAAAAACCCTGCAAAAACATTTTTTAGAGATTTCCCTTGGCTGATGTTTCTGTGGGATGGGGGTCGTTGGCAATCAGCACAGGATATTATTCCACTTAGTCCAAGTTCCCCTTGTCTGCTATGGCTGGATACTCAAAAATATTTCAAGCATTGCTTTGTTTAAAAAAAAAAAAAACACCACATAAACAGCACTTACAAGGTATTCTGAGGTTTGGCCCGCTGCAACAAAATCAGCTTGGAATATTTCATTGGGGTGCTTCACTCTTGTAATATAAATCCATCAATATTCTGGACTGTTTGAAAGAGATGTTTGCTGCATCATGAACAGCTTTTCGTACCTTTAAGTATGTTCGGGTTAAGGAGGAGAGAAATCACACCTTGTTGCATGGTTTCTGCAATTATTGTTGGAGAAGCCGAATATGGTATGATAATCATCTTAATAGAGCTGTCGTGAGCAAATATCTCAACATAGCATTAGAAATTTGAAGCATTTTTACCCTTTATGACAAGATCTATAGCCTGCAGAGTATATCATGTGTTTCCATACCACGATATGAATGTTTGCATGGAGAACAGAAGAAAACAGGCTCCATATCAACTAATCTGAGCAAGCTGTTTAGCCAAGCCCCATAATATATACGCCTGTTTTTATGTCTTCTGATGGTTACACGCTCCCATAATCCTTTGAATTTTAACTCACCTCTGCTTACTGCCATGTAATTTATATCTATTAGATAAAAAGACTAGAATGTGAAAATGCCTCAGTAAGGTTTTTAAAAACTGTTTATAGACTACTGGGAACAAACAGTGTTAATATTTTCAGGCCGCATAGGCACTTTTGAAATGTTGAGTATCATGGGAGAACATTCACAGACTGACAGCCGTGATGGGTGTGGCATGTCCACATTAGAGCAATGGGTGATGCTAAAAGATGCTGTTATCTTGCCCCAGATTCTGAATCCAGTAAAAAAATAAGTAAACTTTAATTCAGTAAAACCTCAGTTCTCAGACCTCCATTCAGTAAACTTTATATGCCACAGACAAAAATTCTGTTCAGACATTAACCCCAAGCAATAAACTCTCATTGTTTCTAAATAGTCTGGACAACTGATGTTGTTTACATCATTTGCATCAATTTATATCATTTGTACAGTGATGTAGATACTTCAAATATGTAATTATCTAAATGACATAAATGGAGACAAATGATTATCACTCAGAGCCATTTGGAGCAGTGCAACATAGAAATATCAGTAACAAATAAATAAAATGATTTAAATTGACCCAAATGAAGTAAGTTTGTATTTAACAAACATTTGCTGTTAATAAACATTCCTTCATCCCCCAGTCTATGTGACAGAGGCAAAAATGACCTTCAATCCCCCCTTTTCTGTACTTCTTTTTCAGGATTATCATCATCACACACACACAAATTCCTTGTTTCATACCTCACACTCCAGAGTAGATCTATTCATTTCCCTTCCGTTTACACGGCTTCTCCCCTTTCCCATTCATTCTCATTTCCCAAGTTATCACACAGGCTTCCCCAATCCCTTCTGTTGCTTTTTGTAGCTTTTATCACCCTAAATGCCTTCTTCTCCTCTGACCGAATTGGCTGTCCCAGCTGCAATTTCTTTTCTTCAGCTCCCTTGTGCTCCTCTCTAGAGTGCAGTTCCTCCCCCCACCCTTCCTTCCATTATCCCAGACCACCTCCAGCTGGTCCCTGCATCATTTCCATTGCTCGCATGGGCCTCTCCCTCCTTCTGGATTGGAGCATTTGAGAGCCCAGCCCTAGCTTCTTGTTTAATGCCTCCTTTCTTTGGGAATTCTTCTGGACTATGGCCGCTGCAGTTTTTGCACTCAAGGTCTGCTGCTTCCATAATGTATCCACTTAGGTTGTGCAGCAGGTCAGTTGGATAGCACAGTACAATTCAGGGCACTACATGGGCACGGGGTGGGTGCACCGCATCCTAAACCCTTGTTTTCCATTGCTGTGCAAGTTAGAGAGCTCTGCCCTGTTGTAACCCTTTCCAAGATGCTGCACTCATCACTATGCCAATGTAGCCATACTGATCTTTCCAATTCTCTTTCTCAGTTCTCCATTTTTTTTCTCTTGGCTACTGGGAAGGTTCACATGCTCTTTCTTTTTATTCCCCGAAAGATTTCTTGAACTTTTGCAAGCAATGGAATTTCCTGGGCTGCTAATACCATTTCTTCTATTCGAGAAGTACTAATTTGTCAGCATAATATTCCAGACTTGCTGAACAAGTTTGCTATTGAGTGTAGGGGATTTGTACGCATAACATGAACTAGCTTCTGCTGTCTTTATCATTTGTACAATATGCAAGGGTTAAAGGAGGCAAGCTAGAAACCAGGAGACCGTGAGTTCTAGTCCCACCTTAGGCATGAAGCCAACTGGGTGACTTTGGGCCAGTCACTCTCTCTCAGCCCTAGGAAGAAGACGGCAGTGGCAAATCACTTCTGAAAATCTTGCCAAGAGAACTGCAGGGACTTGTCCATGCAGTTGCCAGGAGTCAGGCACACACACATGCAAAGTGCTACCCTTGGGACACAGGGTTGCCCCAAGAGCAATTAATGTTAACCCCAGTCATCCTTTACACCTTTTTGACAGCCTTGTAATGTTAGTCTTGAGCTGCAGTTTTCAGGCTGGAATAACCAGCAATGGCCGGGCCTGTACAAAATGGTGGTGTTTTGCCTCATGGACACATAGTAATTCACCCTGCCATATCAAGTCCTGGTGGTGACACATGCCTGCTCAATAAGATGCTTTGGGTCACTTCAAGGCTCTGGTTTGGCAGGTCCAGTAGGTGGAAGAGAGGCACGCACAAAGCACTTGCAGAAGATTTTCAGTTACTAAAACCGCCAGGCAAAAAGCTCGAAGCAATATCCAGTAAAGCAATGTGGCTGCTTCCCTTTTAAAAGGGGGGCTATTGTTCATGAAGCAGTTTTGTGTCAGGCTTCTGGTAGCATCTTGGACTGGAAGTGGTTAATCCCAAGAACAAGAGTCTTCCTCAGGCCTCTGATAAGCAAGTTTTATTAAGAAGAAGGTTAAAGGATGAATTCTAGCAAATATTCTATTTTCAAATGAGAAACATATATAGGCAAATTCAGGCGGGAAGGTTCTGGTTTTCTTTCTTGGGCTCTCCTAGTGTAAAGAGAAGGCCTGTCCCTTTTGTGAAGGAGGGGCAGACCTGTTGATTATTTTGGAAGCAGCTACTGGACTTCTTACCCCTCTGAGACCCAGCTCTCCTACTCTGAAGGTTGCTTCAAAGCACTTCTGTGAAGCTTTACAGCAGCTAAGAGGGAGGATTAGATGGGTTTGTTGCTTTCTCCTTATGCTGCCAAATAAGCTTTTTGTCACAATATTGGAAAGTAGCTATCCAAACAAGAAACACAAATTAGATTACAAGTACTAAATGGGGTGCAACTTTATTTACAATGTAAAGTGCATCACGCAGAAATTGTTGAAACACAAGACAGGTGGTGGCATAAATTACAATACATTTTATGTATTTAAACTCTAATTTAAAAAAGCAACGATGATTCTTCTAAGGATGTAATACTACAAAGAACAACCTAATTTTGACTCTCCTGCCTTTTCCCTTTAGGCATCACACTTCCTGCCAGGAGACCTACATCTTCTGGCTTGTTTCTAGGTCAGATTTTGCACCTTGTATATTAATCCAAATAAATGGGAAAATGTATGAACTGCTAGTACTGAAAATAAGCAGTCTGGCTTCAACTATTGTACATTATCTTCCACCATTTCACAGAACAGAAATATTTTGGCTCAAAGTACAGCCATTCATACACACAGTGTACGAATAAGTAGGAAAAGAAAAGAAGGAATCTTGCAAAGAAAAAGGAACCACGATGATTAATTTAGTTTAGAGTTCCTTTCCCATTTTATGAAGATTTTCTTATAGCTGAAATCCTATACACACTGGTTACTGGCCCACGGGGAGTAGGCCCAGTGAAACTGATTTCTTAGAACTGGCTGCATATATTACAAAGTAATGTAGAACTGGAAGCCCTCTTAAAGCTCATTAGGAACGTAAGTTAGCTACTGAAAATGTTACCACTATATTTTCAGGAAGAGCTTGAATATTGCGTATTTCAGTTTTAATAACAGATGCCCTTAGAATGAGGGGGAAAAAACCCAGCTTCTTACAAGAAAAGATATTGCTAAGTTTATTTACTAACTGCTGTTGCACTAATGGGCAAATTGCTCTCTCTCAGATGGCCAAGGTTATGTTTTGCTTCCTGATTGAGACTGAACATACATTTCAATTTTCTTTGTCCTCTTAATTTTGAAAATGTTTAGGAGAAAAAAATTAGGTCTGCTTGTTCCTTTTAAATTGCTAACAATCCTAGCAAGAACTTGAGTGTAAAGTTATAAACATATGCAAGCATGCCTGAGAAGGGAAGAACTTGTACATGCTCAAAAAATCATGGATAAATAATGTGACAATATAAGCTACAATTACTCAATTCCATTCTGAAATGCAGCTTCCCCAATAAACTGGAAGTGGAATTACAGTGGTGGATCTACACACTGGGCTATTTTTTTCCTAACTAATATCCTGTAGCCCCTGTGCACACAACAAATTATAAGAGAGTGTCATAGTATTTATAAATATATGTAGTATACTACAGGTATGAATTAATCACAGTTTTTCTTATCATCTGTAAAGATTTGCAGACATTTCAGTTTGTAGTATTGCTAAAACTAGAACTCTGCAACCTGAACAATGTAAGCATGGATTGTGGACAACTGTACTACATTGCTCCTAAAAACTCAATGTGTGCAAACTGCTGTTTCTGTCCATGTCATCCCAAACCACAAAACCCCACAACAATTGACATAGTTGCACTGGAGGGTAACTATGCTTTGCTTTAATATGTTCGTAATCAATATTCATTTTTGCATTGTGTACTGTAGCACCTGATTGTCTTACTCTGGGTTCCTACGCTAAGCAGAATTTGGCATGGTTAGTACTTGGATGGGAGACCATCTAAGAAGTTCAAGTCTCTCTAAAAAAATCCCTGAAGGCAATGGCAAACCACCTTCATAGTGTTGTCAAGAAAAATGCACGCTGGTATAATCCTTAGGAGTGTCTTGTCTCTACTTTGTCGGCAAGAGACCTCTATGCTAAATAAAAAGAAATGAGCAAGTGTAATATGAGCAAATAACGCAATTCCAGGGGAGAAAAGAATGGGGAAAAAGACACTGTCTTTTCAAACATATTATTTCAGACACTGTCATTATCAAACCTGTCAGGAAACTTTCCTCTGCAAAAAATTAGACTAGTTATGCTATTCCCACCTACACGTTCAAAGCTATGTCCCTTTAGATTTAGCTTGCAGAAAGAGTAAGTTTCAACCTCATCTGAAGCCCAAAATAAAGCTGTTACAACTGAGCAGTGAAAGGGAAGGAGAAAGGGGAATGCAGCAGGATTATGGGCCTGAATTGCTTTGAATATATAAAGTTCCAGTCAAGAAAAAAATGGCTAATGATGCATCTGTTGTAACAGGAACATACCTTCTGACAGGAAGTAATAAGGACAGTAAATTAAGGAACAAAATACATTAGTCTGCCTTCCTCCTTTTCACCTTTTAATTTTAGCAGCAGCTAATTTATTCTGGTTGATGTCTCTGGATATAATTATTACAGTATTTAACTACAGCCTTTTTGTATTACTTTAGATATCCAGGGTAGCCATTCTGACCTTTCAACTGGGACTCAGCAGTTCTTTCCTGAGAAATAAGTGCGTTGAGGAATGTTATTTTAAGGACATGTTATATTTTAAATCCAAGATAAGTAACAACTACTTATTAGTTTCAATGGAAATAGGAAGATATCTGTCCTGTTTGGACAAGTGATGTGCCCTGGCAAATAATATCAAAAAGATGAAATCTAATTTTCACTTCTTTTTACGGGAACAGCAGCAACTGTTTTACTTATTTTGAACTAAGTGGTAATCATTCACCAAATCCATGCATGCATATATGTTTTAAATATTTATCCACAGTAAAATAACAAGTACTTTCTCAGTAAACAGGCTTGATTTTAACAGCCAGTAAGAAACCTTTAGAGGCAGTTCAGTCCCCACTGACCTACCTCCTCCCTTCCCCATCCTTTCCCCTTCACAGATAGCCCACTCACTGGCCTACTTACAAGAAAGCATGGATCACGCCTCTTATTTACAGCATTAGTATTACCATCGGATCTGAAAGAATCCCATAGTGGAAGGTCCCTTTCAAGCAACAGTCTTCTATGTGCCATGGAAAACTATTTGAAACCGAAGGGCGGAAGTATTTTGTTAGGATCAGTGGTGGGGTTGGAGGAAGATATTTATTTACTTTATTTTGAAAATATGATATTCTTATTGAAGAACGTCATGCTGTTTGGAATGCTTAAAGCTTCAGATTCCAATTTGTTCCATCAGACAACAGTAATCAAATATTGTCCCTCTTGTAATTACTGTGATGAAATAGACAAATGGTTTGCAGAAGGTATCTTAGACCAAAATCAGATCTGCAGGGCAATCATTTATTATTCATCTCATTCACTTATAAAATTCAGGATATGAGGTATTTTAGCATATAAAAGGACCATGATGGAGAGACTGAATTTTCCTCTTTCCCATGTCTTAACCTTTCCTCTCTCTATTTCTGAATTGCTTCCAATAGTGGATCCAATAACAGTATAAGAAGGTAAGACTTAAGAACTGGGAGATCATAGTTCTTTGTCTCATGCATTCACTTACATTTTGTAGGTGGATGGGGGAAAGGAAATATGAGTCAAATCAAGTTTCATCCCCAATCCCAGCATCTTTTTTGGCCATGAAACACAACTTAAACATGAGGCTTTACACCCATAATACAAAAGACTGTAAGGTTTTTCTCTTTCAGTGAACAACATTTGTACATTTGTGTGTATTGACAGCAGCAACATTTAGCATGTATGATATACTTCTGCAAGAGAAAAAATATAAAGATGCTTCCATTCAAAATTAAATGCATAAGAAAAATATAATAATAATAATAATAACAACAACAACAACAATAAATTCAGAACAGTTTTAAAAAACCCACTGTATTTGATTTTACAGTGACTGTAGTACCAAGGTCCACTGGATTGGAATCGGAGTGTTCAAAGTCTTTGCTCTTAAATTAAAAGTGGTGGAATCCAGGTTTCCGTTTCCTAGATTAGCACACAGGCAAAGAAAAGGGAAAAAGAGTCCATTATTCCTGGCAGATCATGAAATGCAAAGACAAATCAATGTTTGCTGCATAAGGAAGGGTTCTACTGTAATCTGGCAAGGTCTGTACACCTGTGAAAGCAGGCCTTGGCACATATATCACAGCCTGCGTGAAGAAACCCGAACAGAAAATAGAAGCTGTGGGCATAGTTCCTTGTTTTAAGGGAAAATCCCTTCCTATCAAACCACAGCCCAGCACTTTGAGTTTATTTCAGCAAATGTTCTGTTTAAAGTGTATGTTGACTGTAGCAGAGGGCTGGTTTTAGTAGAACATATTGTAAAGTGTCACTGGGAGCATGTGTAAATAGGAGTGGGACTAGCATGGATTAATTTTTAGAATTAACAATGAAAGCCAACAGAGTCTCTGGAGCTGATAGTCATAACCTTACGAACAGTCAGGTCTCCCAGATGTTCTACTGCTAACTCACTTTCTGGAATTAATGCTAGCTAGGAAATTGCAAGCTGGCCTGCAAGACTGATTGGAAGGGACTAAAATTTGAGTAAAAATATCATGTTAGGTTAAACCTCTGACAAGAAAATGCCAAGCATACCTAGAGCAGTCATGTCCAGTCCATGGTGAAGTACAATGGCACCGATTTGGTCGTATACATTTCCCACCATTTAAGCATGGAGAGTGACAAACAGCTGCATTGGAAGACCATAGAGGCACATTACCATTTAGTGAAATTAGGGCATGCTCCCACGGAATAATTTGGGAGCCCATTTTTTTACTGTTTTTATAAGTAGTACCTGATAATACTGAAAGAGCTTAGCTGTGTTTATGTCCACTTATTGAGCCAAAATAGCAAAAGGCACGTATTTGCTACTAGATACAGTAGAGTACAGAACTTATTTAAGCAATTCATTTGGAGGAAGATACATACAAGATGAACAGAATACAAATCAATTTCCATATGCAAATCAAGCTCGGAGAATATGAAGAATGTTAAGAAAAAGATAGAAAAATATAAGTTGTACTCTCTTTACTGGACAACTCAATTATCTTTGCAGAAACTGAACTTAGCTTTTTAAAGATTCTAATTCTTCATAACATTCCATATAAAAATCCCTTATATTTGCCTTTGAAATATCCCAGAGAAACAATATGAAACCACATGTCTTTTCAAAACCGAATGCAAAATAAATAAATTTTGTGGGCATATATGGAAATTTTCTGAGAGACAGTATTGTTTGGCTTTCCAAGTAGAAAAAGTCATGCATGCAGTAAAATGGTGTCTATGGCATGACAAACATGATAGAATGTGGGACTGTAAGCGCCTTTTTTTGACCATCTAGTTAGAACTGAAAAAAGTATTTCTGAATAGTTCCTGAATTAAAAATGCATGTCATTCCTGTTTGGCTAAGGAGATACTTCCGTGAGTGATTTGTGGTTTGTGGAAATAATCACATTTTGAACCAGATATCTTATTAAGAGAAAGGTTTAAAATCTTCTCTTAAGCCATTTATTTCATAGAATCCTCCACCTTAAAACACATAATAGTTGAAAACCAGAGCACCATATGAAAATATTTCCCTATTCTTCCAAATAATATAACAGGTAGCAAAGATGTGCATTTCCAGACCAGACATGTAAAGATATATAGGTAGTCCTTGTTTAGTGACCACAATTGGGACTGGCAACTTGGTTGTTAAGTGAAGTGGTTGCTAAGTGAAACTTTGTGCTTACAATCTTACTTCAGCTTTTCTTTGCTTTACAGACTTGTGAAGGTCAGACACTGAAAACTGGTAACAAAGTTACTTTTTCATCACTGTCGTAACTATGAACAGTCACTAAATGAGGACTACTTGTACTGACTGGTTCTTTTTACTATCTGTTTTCTCCTCATTTTTTCTTTCCTTTTAGAACTCACTGGTTGAGCTGCATTCACACTTTGTTCCAAAGTGCTATTGCTAGGTTGTGGGAAATCTTGAATTAAATATGCTTACCCTGGTGGCAGCGCGACCCAGTCCATCCAGTTGGGCAATCACATTGGTAAGGGGCGACACATCGACCTCCATTCAAACAGTGCAGGATGCAGATTGCTGAAGAGAAAAGGGGAGGAGTGGGAAGAAGAAAAAAGTTCCATTCAAATAAACAACACTGGTTCTATTTCTCCACAAAACTAAAACAATTATGCTCCTCCGCCAAAGAAAACACCTTCCAAAGGCTTAGCCATGTTGGTCTTCTGTAAAAAATACCAAACAGAGCTTCCTGGCACCTAAAATTGACACATTTATTACACATATCAAATAATAAATTGGTTGGTTTTTGAGATACTACAAGACTCTTCATAGTTATCGTTCTTAGCATTTACTGTAATCTTCTTTGTACCTTCATTCTAAGTATATAAAAGCATTCACAATTTACAATCCAAACAGATTAATTTCTTCTAACTTGTATAATCCCTCTTCTAATTATTGAGGGGCAACTGTTGGTGTGCCATGAGTCTTTTTGGGAACTACCCTCTATTTAGACAATATAAGCCCCCATTCTCTCTGTATGGATTTTATTTATTTAAATTTGTTATGGCCGCCCACTCCAGCAGACTCTGGGCATCTTACAAAATCTAAAGAAGCAGTAAAAACATAAAACAGTGCAGACACCCTGGCCCAAAAGAGCCATAGCAATAACAATAAAGGCCCCACAAACACATTAACCTGAGGCCTGGGACCAGAGCCAGCTCTTAAGAGCTGTCTAGAATCCCAGGAGAGCGGGTGCCAACCACATCTCTGAGGGGATGTTGTTCCAGAGGGCGGGGGCCACAACAGAGGTGGTCTGTTTCCTTGGTCCTGTAAGAGGACAACATTTAATAGAGGGGCCCTGGAGTGCACCCACTCTGTCTGAATGTACTGGGCGGGCAGAAACAACTGGACACAGGTGATCCCTCAGATAACCAGGTCCTAGGCCATGAAGGGCTGTAGAAGTGACAACCAGCACCTTGAATTACACCTGGAAACCAACTGGCAACCAATATAGCTCACGTATGCCCCTCAACCATTAGAGGCTTCCACCACACTTCCTTTTCTGAGTACCGACTTGTACATGGTCCAGCTATAGCTTCATGACTTTAAGGAAGCTAATTTTATTTTAACAAATCTAAAATCTGTATTAGAATAATACTCTGCAGCAACAGTGGGCCATCAGAAGTGGACTGTCAGGTGTAGCCTCAGAGAACAGTGGTTACAGGACAGCTACCTAAAGATCCATTAGGATAAAACCTGCATTTGAAAAATAGTACCTTGGAAAATAAAAAGCAACTGGAAGAGCAATTTTTGCTGATTTTGCTTTTCCTCTGCAGCCCTTTCTGGGGAAGAGGTCAAGGCTATCAAGCTGTGTGGGTGCATGAAGAACATGTCTTTTGGAAGGTGGGCTAGGTTGGCTAAGTCAGTCAAAAAGCTGTATGACCTCTGTAATATCAGAACTGGCTGCATTCTCCAAGAAATCTGATAGGCAAACAGTGATTTCTGGAATACCTGGGAGAATTAATCCAGTGAACGTCTATCTTATGTTCAGAGTCTACCTGTAAACAAATGCAATCTTGCAAAACTTTAGTCAGGTCCAGAATTCTGAATAAGCAACAGAAACTCTACAATCTCGTTACTGAAGAATCGGGGTATCTATAACAATATAATTTGCTCAGTCCTGACTTCTGTTCTATTCCATTCACACAACAATTCCTTCTATGAATTGGAGATACACAGATTCAGTACCACCTGCTGGTGGAGGGAAAAGGGTGAGTTTTAGTAATTATCTTTTCTCATCTACAGATTCATAACCTCAGCTGTTCCATGGAATTCTTGAAATTTCTAATCAGAATAGATTTTAGGTACAAGTGGCTACAAAAGAAAAGGAAATTGGGAAAAAAGACTCTTTACTTTCGGCCAATGTAGTATTCTTTTAATAGAATTCCACCCACAGAAACTCAGCATCTAAAACATAATCTTCGTGTTTTTATTAGAGCAATGCCCTGATTTCTGATTGTTAACAATATTTTTCTTCTTCATTCTATTTTTAAGATAACACCCTTCAAAATGGAAGTCAAAATATATACTGCTTCTGTAAATGATAAATGAGGGGTTTTGTTTGTGTGAGAAAAAAAGTACAACCTGGCTACAATAAATACTAAGTTTATAAACAAGTCTTCTGCTTTCTGTACCACAATGACTACTTTCATAAATGTTGCAATCAAGTTCTACACAACTTTTCAGATTATTCATCAATATTCTGTCACTTTGGAACATATAAGCTTTAAAAATTAGACTATTAACAAGGTGGTTCTGACCACACTGACTGGAAAGCAGTCTGCTTCAAAATTTGTATGATTTAGATCTAATTAACATGAGTAACCTTGAGTTTCAGGTTAAGTCCATTAATATAAAAAAATGTTTTCCTTAAAGTACACCCTATTTCCTTCTAGTAGATTCTACCAATTAGATATTTCATTATTCTGGATAAAAGACAACATGACTCTCTGCATTTCTAATACATGACTAACAGAACCCTTAAAGATAATAACAATAAAAATAACTATCCATGAGAAACATGTCATCTTCCTTTGCTTTTGTAGCTGGAATTCTTAGTGCATGCAACTACACTTTCAACTGCCTGCTAGAAGGTCTCCCTCTGAAGTGTAAATTCAAGCTTACATATTTTGACCCCCTTCCATTTTGTGTATAATCAGCTCGGCTGGTTATAAAAAAAACCACTGGCAAATGGCTATAATGTAGACCAGATGCTCCTTGTATCTTTATGTTACTATTTCAGCTGATCTTAGTCATAGCAGGAGGTAGAAGAATGGTTTTGACTGTATTTTTGGGACTACCATATTGCATGCCATCTCCAAATCAAATTCCTGATGACCATAAACAGCAGTAAAGAGGGATTTCTCAATCTCTTTGCTGCCACCTAGTAGTCTTCTGGATATCTGCAGCCCTGGTAAGTGTATCTGCACGTTTCTGAAGGAGCATACGTTTCAGCAGTTTATGCACCATTGTGACATAGGCTTACACAGCAGCATTTCTCAAACTGTGTGCCTGGATCCATCACTAGTTTTCATCACTGCTTCAGCTGCATCTTAGAGTTTCCTTGCTTCCCATCAGCAGATTAATACTCATCAATGGTCCCCAGAGTAGCAGCCTACAAAGTCTGAACAACTAGAGTAAAGATAGTCAGGTCAGTGAAACGTTTGCGTGCATGGGCCTTCAAGTTAGTCTTGATTTCTGGCAACCGCTTGGACAAGTCTATGCAGTTTTCTTGGCAGCATTTTCACGACTGGTTTTGCTGTTGCATTCTTCCTAGAAAGAGTGACCGGCTCACAGTCACCCAACTGGCTTCATGCCCAAGGCAGAATTAGAACTCATGGTTTCCTGGTTTCTAGCCTGGTGCCTTTAACCACTAGGCCAAACTGGTTCTCAGCTGCTTAGGGTAATAGCTTGTCTGGTTGCAGTCTTACTTCTCCACCAAAGGTTTATGGTTATTAAGATGAAGTCACCTTAGTGCATTACAGCAGATCTTCCTGGGGGATTGCATTAAGGTCCAAAAAACTAGTAATGATGTAGAGTAAGAAATAATTTTATTTAGTCTTAATACTGCCAAAAAAGAAAAAAAAAACACCTAAATTTTTGCAATGCTAACAAATGCAAAAGGTGTTTGTCAAAAGGATCTCCATAGCTAATAGCTGCTTCACTGGATGTCAGTTACGTCTTGTCCTTGCCCCGTCATGGGAAAAGTCTGGGTAAAGCCAAGAGAGGATAATTCAGTTGGCTCCTGCAGGAATGTCAGCAGGACTGGCTCTATTTCACCTGCATCTTGTAGCTTTTGGAATTAAAAGGCCCAAAAGTTAAAGACTCCTCAGAGTCAAGTGTGATTCTTGGTGATTATAGGCAGTATTCTTAGGCAAAATAGGGAAGAGCTTTGCCTTGGTTTCTTCTGCTCTGTTTTTTTGACTAGACTAATCTAGCCTATAGCCCTGAAGTTTCTCATTGGCTCCTGCTTTTGAGATGTAACTTGAATACAGTTACATCTTGAATGCAGCTCAGTTTTTTTCTAAATCAGCCAAGGTGGGCTAGGTGCTCCTACCTGCTATGGGAAAAAACACAAAGCTTTAGGCAAATGTTTGATCAATAAAATGCAGGATGCTTGAAGCCCACCTCACCCACTCCCCAAGCAGACAGCATGCCTAAATTATGAAGAAATAAAGAAGAAAGAGACTCAGAGTTTGATTTGGAGACTGCAATCATGTTTGTCCAGGAGTAAAGACAAGGGAAAAGGAGGTCCCACTGTGACAGCAGAAGAAGCACCTGGCCCCATTTCTTGACTGTTCCATATTAATTCAGATTTCTTAAACAGACCTGTACTGTTTCTTTTTCTAAACAAAATTCCTAATTAAAGAAGTGAAGCACCAGTTTTGGTGCCTGATGAATCCCTGTTGAGGTGCTCCTACTCATGCAACAGGGATCATTTGAAGCGGGGGGGGGGCAGGTCACCTTTGCTGATCTACCCCTCTTTCATGTAATCAGCATGTGAATTAATATCAGACTTGAAGTAAGGAGCTTGCCCAAAATGCATCAATTCTACTCAAGATTTAAAATACAGTCATGCACAACCAAGGGCATACAGCCTAAACCTGTAGAAAGAGGATCACTTTCAATACATGGAAGATAAATGATGGATGACAGGTGATAATGAGACCAAAGGGTATGGGAAAAGCAAATGTACCTTCCTCTCTTATTCACCTCTCCTCCCTGAATAGCATGGAATTGAGCAGCTGATTAAGGTTGGGAGATCTACAGAATAGTAGTTAATAATTACTGCTCCCTCCTTGAGATTGTTGGCATTCCAGTCAATGGCATATTTATAAATACAATTCTTAAAATGCCCTCATCATACAGCAACGTTCTGTTGGTCTTAATTACCTTTTACTGAATAATTTGCCACAGCACCAGCATGGCATGTGTGTAGACTAATTTTAAAGGAAAACCAGTGTTCAGAATCCTAATCATGTGGGGAAAGTCTCTATTTTCCTCAGCCTAACATGTCAGAATTATAGTAAATTGCAAAAGTGTTACTCTGGACAGCTCAGAAGAACAACTGTGAAAAATAAATACAATACTGTTAGATGGGAGATACGTACGCTCTTCACAAAGGCGTCCCATCCAACCCTCAAGACAGGAACAAGCATTTGGTCGCTCACAGACACCACCATTCTGACATGGGAAACGGCAAACAGCTGGAAAGGGGAACAGCATCCAGTTAGAACAGGAGATGATAAAACAAAAATTGTACATCAGAAAAGTAAATACTCAAGGTATTCTCAATACTAGGAAGCCTGTAAGGAAAGAAAACATATAAACTTTTAGAGATTATAAGGGAAGTATCTGGTATAGTGTTTTAAAATTACTAGGCAGGAATCCCCAGGTTAATATGTTACCTCAGCCATGTGATTATGGCTACCAGATCTGGAATGAAAAAAATCTGGACAACCATTACATCGTAGCAAAGAGAGTTTACTGTGTCTCTCTGCTACTATCTAGCCATTGTCTGGACTTTTGCAGTTTAAACCAAACAGTCATTCTTCAGTGTAAACCAACCTTCTATGCAGCACAGGGCTATTTTTGAAACACAGGTTACTGTTCTTTCAAAAAAGCAGTAAGGTCTGTATATGGTAACCAAGGCAAAATGATTGTATGTAGAAGTTGGAAAAGCAATGAAATACCTACAGTGGAAGATTGGATTATAAAATTAACTGAACTCGCAGAAACGGCAAAGCTGACCAGTTTGGTCAGAGAAAAAAGACAAAGATTTTTTTGAAAGACTGGAAACCTTATGTGGACGTTTTGTTGAAAGAAGATTGAATTGATGATTTTGGGGTTTGGGGATTAAGAAAGGATGAAGAGGATGGGGAAAAGATTAAGATGATAATTACTTGATAGAAAGGAGGGCAGAAGGCATAATTGTAGGTTTCCTTTTTTCCTTTCTTATTTCCTTTCTCTTATTTTCAATCTTTTTTTTGTTTGTTTTGTATAATTTTACTATATTGAAAAACTCTAACTTAGATATAGCACTAAGCCCATGTTTATAAAGACCTGACAAGCATCAGCTAGGCCTTATGAGAGCAGATGCTCCTACAGAACCCAGCTGTCTGGTCTCTCCTGCAGCCTGAGCCAAAATGGCTACAGAGGGAAGCCTAGTGGTTGGAGAGGCCATGCTTGCAGCAGTCTCAAGTAGCCTATAGGGGTTGGCCAGATCCCAGCCCCTGACTGCATCAGCAAGATTGTATCCATGGCCAAAGCTGTGTTGGGAGAGGAGGGGAAATATTTTAAAACTGGAACAGCTGAAAAATTGCCTCAACTGTGGGCTGGGGATGAGACAAAGGCAACATCATCAAGACATAGCGTAAAAAATCCCCAATGGTTACAGGTAGTCCTCATTTAGTGACCCCAATTGGGATCAGCAACTCGATCGTTAAGTGAAGTGGTTGCTAAGTGAAGTCACGACTGTGCTTACGATCTTACTTCAGCTTTCTTATGCTTTACAGACCTGCAGAAGTCGTAAATGTGAGGACTGGTCACAAAGTTACTTTTTCATCACTGTTGTAACTGTGAATGGTCACTAATGAGGCAGTCACTAAACAAGGACTACCTGTATTGGTATATATTTGTGCAAAAATGAGGATGAGGACTTGAGGGTGAACCCTCAGAGCCCAGAGCAATTAGGAATCCCAGGTCACATATTGCTGAAATGTAAGTATGCGCTATGCTGACCTCTAGTGGGCGAATTAGTCTTTGTTTTTATAGTGTGCATAGATGAAGCACATCCCTGAAAAAAAGATCTTTTGCTCTTCATGTGGAAACTGAATTACTGAATACTGTAGGGGATTCTTGCTAAAAAGAGTAAACTCAACTGGAATGAAGTCATAGATTGTCCATAATATCTAAGGCCCTGCTAACTAGTGCTGGCCAAAGCAAGTTGTCCCAAGGAGGCAGACTTGTTTTTGAATATCTCTGAGGGTTTTATTCTTTTAAAAATTATCTGTATTGTCCTGGATGTGGCAAAATATGGGCCCCTCATGAGGATCCATGGACATCGACTGTCCTGGTCCCAGAATACCCTATCCACAATAGAAATATTTCTGGCAGTAAATCTGCACCTGTGATCCTTTTACAGGCAACCCTGCAGTCATCCTCTGCCGCCCACGAGCTCTCTTCTGCCAGCTGGGAGGCATCTGTGCTCCATCTTAAGATACCTCACATAACCAAGGAGATGATTGTTGTGTGGGACATATCTGATTGTGGCTCCAGTGGGCAAATTCCATAATGAGATGAACAATAGCCTGAATCCGGTACACTGTTTTTGCTGAGAAAACCTGTTAAGCCCTGTTCTGGATTACAGGGCTTAAAAACAAAAGCTGTGCTTATAATACCCTATAATGATGTATCTGTAATTGGTTGAGAGTGTATTAGTTTTGCAAACCCAGGACATCTGTTAATATTGCTCATACTAAAGATTTACATGATCTGCTTTCATGCTGCCTCTGATGTAGGCCCTTCAAAGCACAAGCGGTGGAAGTCTTTTGTTAGCCAACAAGCCTGCATTATTTATGACACACTTTTAAAAATGAGCAAAAGGAAGTCCATTGTGACATCAATCAGGAAAATACAGGCGAATTCTGTCACTTCCACCCTTTTCTGTTACCCACTTTGAGGCAGGAAGATGAGAACTAATACCACACAATACAAACAGTTATTATTTAAATATAATCTATTTTTCTCAGTGCTTAGTGCCTGCCAGAGATGAATAACCCTTAAGACACCTGAAGACACTGCACAAATGGAGTGCTGTGACAATATGAAGACTCCAAATTTACACTACTGTTGTCACTGTGTGCTCCTTTATTGTACCTATCCCATCTGAGAGTAGACCCATTACATATTCAGTGTTATTTGGGAGTAAGTCCCATTAATTTTAGATTTAATGGAACTTATTTCACCCAAGAGGACATTGTACAGAATATGATTTGTGGACAGTGGCATGTGCAGCACACCGAGATGAGGCCAAAATGACATACATACAGTGATACTGCCATGCAAATACCATCCTTACTTATTTATGTCCTGACATTTGATGTATGAAAGTCACAGTATTTCTATGACATTATCAGCACATTCTGTTATATGCCCCCCCTTTGGGTTCTCATGCCACAAACTGCTTGGGTCTGCCAACTTGAAATCTACCAACATTTTGAAAACAAACAGTAAGAATATTTCTTCTTTCTGCAATAAAATGGATAGCTAGATCTGCATGTGGAGGATCCTAAATATGGGCTATTCACGCTCTCCAAATTACTCAGAACAGCTTTGGACCTCACATGAGCAGTTTCTCTCTGCTATTCATTAAGGCACCCAAGGTTTTCAGGGTTCTGGAAGAAAGATGCTGCTGCTTTAAGAGCCACATCCAGAATGGACTTCTCAAAGCGGCAGTGTCTTTTTTCAAGCTCATACAGACATCTGAAAAAGTAATTTTGTTATAATGAAAGCAGAGAAATGCTGGGCTCATGTGATGTTTAAAGCACTTCTTCTGAAACAGTTTTGAAGTGTGCACAGCCTTACTAAATACAGGATGTTTCTGGCAAGTCCAATTCTTTTGCCCTGTAAAAACCACAGGGTTCTCTGTGGGTGAGAAGGAAGAAGAAGGTCATGAAACCCCTGTAGGCAGTTATAGTTATTGGGATAGAAAAACCACTGTTGAAAGACAAGTGGTGGCTGACAGGCTTCCCTTTCCTTGAGGTCAGAAAAGGCACCTGCAAACAAGCTGCTTATTTTCTGGCTGAGAGAAATGGGGAAGGACCTATTCCCTGGCAAGGGATCAGGAGAAGGAAATGACTGGGCTCAAAGTCACAGCTAGCAGTCTGCTAAATTCCTGGCTGGAGGTTCTGTTAGTTTATTGCACCAAACACAACTGTGAATCTTAAATCTTTAACTATGTTAAAGCCTAAAACGTTTATTAGGGTGTAAAAAAATATAGGCTTGACTGTACCTTATGAAGGGGGTTCAGCTCACAAAATTCATAGCACAATGCATTTGTTAGTCTTAAAGATGGCTACAAGTTTCTTTGTTATATTTTTATGTATTAAAATGAATCTTGCAGCTCTTTGCCCTAAATCCATAATCCCTTTGGTTAGTAGCAGCATATACAGATAGTCCTTGATTTATGACCACAGTTGGGACTGGAATTTCCATTGCTAAGCAATGTGGTCATCAAGTGCAACATCACATGACTGTATCGCTTAGCAACCGCAATTCCGGCACTTGTTGCCATTGTTAACTGAATTGGTCGTTAGACAAGGAACCATCATTCTGGGCTTGGCCCCTCCCAGGCCTGAGCCTTGCAGGGTGGCAAGCAGCCCCAAAAACGCGCAGCTCTGGGGCTGCCTGCCACGTTGTAGTTCAGGGGCTTCTTGGCGCACCACAGCTCTGGGGCTGCAAGAAGCCCGAGCTGCAGCACAGCATGAAGCCCAGCCCCAGCCCAGCAGCATGGTGCAAAGAGGCTTCTTGGCACACTGCAGCCCATGCCCAGCCTGCTCTTCATGAGGCACCTGTTGTCCACGTGAGGCCAGCAGCTGCCTTGTGAAGGGCCGGGCCAGGCATGCTTGGTCAGTAGCAGGAGCAAGAAGACAGTGAAGGTCAGCTAGGGTGGCAGGGGGCCTGGAGTGCAGGGGCCAAAAGGCCATAGATGGGGGGAGACAGGAAGGTGGGGGAAGTTGAAACACCCCTGCGATTGTAAGTGTGGGTGGGCTTCCAAGGGCCTGAATTTTGATCATGTGACCACAGGGGCACTGCAATGGCTGTAACTTCAGGGACCAATTGCAAGTCCCTTCATTCAGCAACACCGTAACTTCAAATGGTTGCTGAACAAATGGTCATAAGACGGACTACCTGTATAGCACAACATTCATAAACCAACCAATATTCAAAACAGGAAGCAAAGGAAAGATATAGATTTGGAAAACAGAGTAAGTTTAGAAGAGGGCTCTCAAGTGCAAAACATTTGGGAGAATAAGAAATAGGGGGTGTAATGGTGATTCCCCAAAATGTCCTAATATAAAACTGGGTCAGAGTTAGATACTTGTCAGACGTTTCAAGAGACAGGAAGCTTAATTCTCTCTTCCTTATAATGTCTACCTGAAGACTGCAAGTGACCTCATCACATCATGCTGCATGCTGTTACTCTCAACTAATTATAGAAAGCAGAAGTACTAATTTACCTTTGCAAGCTGGTGGTATTGTCCAGGTTCTGTTCTCTAAACAGACACTTCGAAGGGAGCCCTCTAGCATGTATCCGCTGTAGCATGAATAGGTCACCACATCTCCATATTGATAAAATGTTCCACGGACCAAAGCATTTTCTACATGAGCAGGTGGCCCACAAGAGATCCCTTAACAGAAATGGCAACGAAGAATCTGTAATTGCATGCTGTCTTACAACTTGACATAGTACATAAGACAACACAGAGCTGGAGACAACAAATAACTGGAAAGCTGAACTTTGGCAATCTCTCTGTGTCTTCCAGAAAGCTGCAGACAGACTCCAACTCCATCAGCTATACGAGCTTGGCTATCTGTAATTAGCCTCTGTAATATCAGCTTGTATATTGGGGGGAGGAAAGATTTTATTATCTCCTTAAATATTTTACCTTTCAGCTCCAGGAAAGGGAATGTAGGTAAAGGAACCTACAATCAGGAAAAAGGAGGAACAGCTATATTTCTACTTTAAATTGTTTTGTGCCAAGAATTTGTGAGGGAAGATTATAGCAGCAGCAATGCCAAACTGATTTGTTTGAGAACTTCTAGCTGAAGGACTGCCCTCTTGTCCTCAAGGATTTTCCATATTAGCCTAAAGGCTGTCCACTTTAAAGCTTCCCCAGCTGATGGCTGTCCAGCCTTTGCTTGAATTTATTTAGCAAATCAGTACTTTTTCATGTATGGAAGTTGCATTCGTGTATGTTTGAATATGACTGAATGAATACGTGTCCACTTATTTGGTTTTGTTTTGTAGCTTCCCTGAAAAAAGAGTCAGATGACATAAAAAGCTATTTTAAACAAAGCAGCAAAATGAAAGCCATTATTCATTAACTACTTACTCTCACATTTAGCTTTAGTTGGAGTCCAGGCCTCATCAGGATTACAGGTAATCACAGATTGTCCCTGAAGTTGATAGCCTTCTCTGCATTTGATAAATACCTTTTGCCCAACATAAAATGTTGTTTCTGAGAGGATGGCATTTTCTGGGATTATAATAGGTACAGGACATGGATTTGCTATTTAAAACAAAGAAAGGGGAAAAGGTAGATTTTAAAGGACTACTGTAGTACATTTTGACTGCCCCTATTTACTTACAAATGTCCATTTCTTCCATTACTTCTGGGTAATCTACTCATTTTTATTAATTGTACACAGTTTTTTCCCCTGCTTTCCTTGATCAGAAAGAGACTGTAAACTTCCAGCAGGACTTACCAGAGAGGAAAGAATTTATTAGTCATTTGCCCCTTTGTTGTTTTTTTAATCAAAGATTCCCTCTGGTGTGGTGGAAAATATAGGAGTGCCAGGCCCTTTTTGTATTTCTAGAGAAAATGGCTTTCAGGGGACACAATTTTTAAAAGCAAAACATGGAGGAAAAACATTGAGACAATCCTGGTTGGAATTCTGCTGTTAATTCCCTAGGAGATACAGTATGCATTGAAGGTTTTCCACTGCTTCCACCAACAAGGGGTTTCACGTGGACGCACCTTTTACTGTTTTATTACTTTGCTGGTGGGGAGTGGGGTGGGAAACAGGGCAACACTGCCTCTTTGTGCCAGATGCTGCCAGTCACAGCCACTCACTGCCAGCGCAGCCATTACCTTGCAGGCAGCACTAGCTGATGACGGACATCATTATTAATCACATCTTCATGCTTCCCCCTGCATTCTTCCTCCAAGCCTGTTAGCTCCCTACTCACAAGTTGCAGTGGTGGAGAAGCAGCAAGGGATGACATGCAAGGTGGGAGAGCTCTCCTGACACATTAAGCAGCAACACTGGGAAAGCTATCTCCCAGTCCATCCCACTCCCCTCCTCACAAGCCTGCTGGGCTAATTTTGCACATCTTCAGTGTTCTTTCAAAAAAGCACTACAGGTAGTCCTCAACTTACAACCACAATAGGACTGGAAATTTCATTGTTAAGTGGTGCAGTCATTAAGCAAGACATCATGTGACTACATCTAATTTTATGACTTTGTGGTGGTGGTGAAGTGAATCACGTGGTCGTTAAGTGAATCATGTTGTTCCCCATTGATTTTACTTGTTGGAAGTCAGCTGTGAAGGTTGCAAATGGTGATCACCTGACCACGGGGATGCTGTGACGGTTGTAAGTGCAAGGACCAGTTGTTTTTTTAGTGCCATCATAATTTTAAGTGGTTGCTAAATGAATGATCTTGTCGGTTTTTGTTAAGAAAGTGCCCCGCTGACAGGTTACAGGCACAGGATGCTTCTGCACCTGCGTCCTGACAGTACGGTGATTTGACAGGTTGTTAAACCTGCAGTTTAAACACCAGCTTCACCCACCTATGTTAAAGAAACCGCATGATAGTTTAACTGTCAGCAGCTGATGCTTGGTGGGAGGGGAAGCAAGGCTAGGGGAATCCACCAACTACTTTCTTTAACTTGTCCCCTATGAAAGTGGTCAACACCACCCTCATTATTGAGGCAGAACAGAGCTTGATCACTGGGCAGTAAGGTTTGAGTTGGTCCTTTTGTACCAGAAACTTGTGGATTGCACTTTAACCTGGCCAACTGACTATGCTCAATCTCTATTCCTTATGCTTCTAATAAGTTAATAAATAAAGTTAAAGGTATCAAGAATGGATACTTTTTAAAGCTGCTTCTCCAACAAAAGTTTGGGAAGATTTCCATCTCTCTCTGCAAGTTTCCTGTTAAAGGTTAAAGCTTGTGCAGCAGACTTTTGTTCTCTAAAACAAAGACCACAGTTCAGTCAAGACTGGGCAGGTTTCCTAGATAAATTTAAAGGTACAAGATTCTGTATGGTTACTAAAAACAGATAAAACGCTCAGTTTAATTTACTCTTATATCTTGTCATGAAAGAGATGTTACAGTGAGTTTAAGCATAGTTCATTTCATATACATACATATCATATATTACCGAAAGAATAGATCAAAACTGTAGTTAGCTTATGAGACTTGGTCAAAGTAATCCTTGTGCCAGCTCCAAGTCAAATAGTGGCATTTGGAAACAAAATCTGCCCATTTTTCAGATCTCTTGACATGTTTCCACTTCTCCATTAACTTAAACTTAACTTCAGTGTTCAGAACTAATGTTTAACTACAGTATCTATGTATGTGTATGTGTACTATACAGTTCTGTGCAAAAGTTTTAGGCAGGTGTGAAAAAATGCTGTAAAGTAAGAATGCTTTAAAAAATATATATTATAATT